CATGGTTCCCCCCCCCACCCCCCCCACCCCCTGAGGGGTAAGTTCCCCCAGAAGTGGCAGTTGGCTAAACTGGACCTGATCGAAACACCAAGCAGTCACACGAGTGCGGTCGGTGTGCGAGCGGCAGCGATGCACACCTGTTCTATGGCAGTGAACGCAGTATTGGGCTGCTAAGTCTTGAGCCAAATGAATTAAGTCGATAGCGGACTGAAGAGCTACATACAAGTCTATATACAAAGAACAGGTGCTACACATGTATAGCGTAGACACGCCTAGGGGACCTAGGGCACTACAAACACAAAACAGACACAAATTTTCTTCGTGTCGAAGCTTACGATCGCTAATGTACAAAAGGTTCGCAAAAGAATTGAAATGAATTCAGAAGTTCTGTCTTCGCAGAACTAAACCGTAGATGCCATTCTGGCTCATCTAGGTTGCGTCAGATAATCTCTCTAGATCTACGAAAGGCATATTTGCTGTATCGAACGTTCCGGAATTTCGGAAATCTTCTTTTTCAAGTTAAATCATCAAGTTGAAGTCAAATCTATAAGGCCTTTAGTTCAGATTTATCTGGGTCTTTTACACTGCATTTAGCTTTGTGGCATTTACTGTAGTCGGCCGGAATATCGGCTTTTCACGACTACTTGCTTCGGCGTTGCTCTAGCCGGCATATCGGCTTCTTAGAGCAGAGACTACCTACCAGTCCCTGTAGCCTCGGTAACCGGTATTCCAAGATGACGAAGATGAACCGGTATACCACCATGAGCTTGACGCTCCCGAGGACCAGGGCTGGTGCCAGCCAGCTTGGCGAGCTTGCTTCTTCTGCCGAGATTGTTCCTTCAGACGTTCAACCCGCTCGGCATTCTTCGCCCCACGTTTCTCGGCGGATTGCTGGCCACGAACTCTGATCTTGTGTCGGCTGGCAAGTGAAAAATTGCACTGAAATGGGTGGTGGTAACCCAAATCGCTGCTCTTCAGACACAGATCAAGGTGATTCAAGTGCTTAAGGAGTTCGTTGACCTTAATGGTAGTCTCCTTCTGGCGTGGAGGTCCTTCATATCCGACACGTCCACGATCATCCGGAATATCGGATGTCCTTGACCGCAACGTATGCATGTCCTTGCCGTAATTTAAGGCGATCTGCAACAAGCAGTCGCAATCGGCATCCAGACCTTCCAAAGCGGCGAGCTGCTCACTGGCGAGGGTTGAGACCTCCCAGTTATAGGTGATGCGCTTGCTCGGCTCACGCTTCTTGTTCGCAGAAACAAGGATCTGGTCAAGGATGGTGAGGACAGCTCCGGTTCCTGGATCGGCATGTCGATCGCCCCGGAAGTTGCGGTTCGTGAACTGATTAGCATCGCACGCGATGACGTCCACCTGGTCTGCCACGGCCGTGATCAAAATCTTCATAATGGCGTTCTTACCGGCCATAATACCTGAATGAAAGGCATGGGCATTGATATGGAAAGCGCAAACTCGAAGTTCAGGCATGTGCATGCGCTTGCAGTCGTTCAGGCTCCCGGTCCGGAATGCCGGACACTCGTGGAACAATGCCTCTGCATCCACTGGCGAAGCCTCAATGTAAGTGGTGGATGCTTGTGCTACAGCTAGGGTGTCAGGGCAGACTGTTGCCTCCATGTTATCTGCTGGATCAGCGCCTTCTTCAAGGGCAACACGGAGGTTCTTTCGGACTCCACGGTCATCGGTGATGCCTCCATCTGTGGATTCTTCGACCTTTCCCCAGATCACGCGGAATGTCGCGGCGTGGGCTACCCAGGCTAGTCGTTCGCCTTCAAGCTCGATCCGGCGGATGAGTTCCAGCCTCGAAGTGCCAAGAGGATCACTGGAACAGACTGCTGCGATCGCAGGTGACTCTCCATCCGCCATGGCCAAAATGCTCAAGCATTTGTACTGGTTAAAGAGCTCTCGATGACGCTCGATGCCATTGGCCTCAAGAAGAATGGTGATATGAGCTGTGTTCCTGACAAGGTAATGCGGAAGCACAGCGTATTGATCGGTCTCGGCGAGATCCCTGGATAGTGGCTGCCTGCCGTTGAAGTGAGGTGTACGATTGATATCGCCGAAGTTGAGAAGCAGGACACTGACGTGTTCAGTCGATCGGAGAAGTCTTGCTTCATCGAGATCAAAGTCTCCCTGGTTCGCGCGATATCCCTGCATGTACGAACGGCTTAACTCGACAATCTGTCGCATCTCCGCGCCGGTATATCGGCGATTGGAGTCGTAAAAGCAGCTTGGCCGAATGATTGGGTATGGTGCCACATCGGACTGTTCGTCCCAGTGTTGAGCGATCGAGGGAATGGCACGGCTCCTGTAGGTTGGATGGTTCGTGTAATGGTATTTGCTGACTCCTTCGAGAACAATTCGATCCATCGCCGCATAACCTGTTGAGCCGCCACCGAGAACAAGATCTTTGATTTCTTGCAAACGGTGCAATCGGCCGGCATACCGGTCATCCGGGTGCCAACCCTCGGATTCGGCTGCGAAGGGAATCGTGAAATCAATTTCTGCCGTGATCTCTTCGCGCTCGCGCTCACCCAGCGGTGCCGGAATATCGGCGTCTGGGACGGTCGAACAGAGATAAATGCTGTTACATGAGCAGTGGTTACTGACATCATGATAGCAGTCAAGGCATGTGCCATGTCGGCATGCTCGGCAGAAGAAGAGCACTTCAGCTCTTGCACAGGTAAGGCAAGTCATCTCTTCTGGGCGATGATGGAACTTAGTTGGCGCTTGCTGTGCCTTCCTTGCATCGCTGATGACTTCCAGCGCTCGCGAGGTCGCACGCTTCTTGGATGATGCTGCGATGTACTTCGTTTCCGGAATATCGGAAAACGAAACTCTGCGGCCCTCGGATGGAGTGCGGGCGGCTCCCGGCGTATGGTCAGCCTTCTTAAGGACAGTACGAGTTGGCGTTCGTGACCGCGCTCGGGAGGACCAAACCCTTGTGCTCTGCTTTTCTTCCTTCTTGACTGCTGCAGATGATGAGGCTGCTGCTGAAGGATCGTCCGGCATGTCGGACTCTTCCTTCTTCACAGTGCCTTTCTTGACCCAGGTTCCTTTCTGGCGCGCTTCTGCGAGGTCGTCCACCATGGCTTCATCTAAATTACTTATGACCTGAACATCATCATCGTCGTCTGCCGGAATGTCGGCATCGACCTCCATGTCGTCGTCATCATCGACATCAATCAGGTCATCTCCCTCTTCCTCGGTCGTTTCCGACAACGAGCGTTTCTTGAGACGACGCATGTTGGTGGCTTCATCCTTCCAGTCGTCGTCGAGGGAGAGAAAATTCAGCCATGTCTCAGTGTGGATCTTGGACATGCCGTGGAGTTGATGGCGATCAAGTTTCTCCTCGGCCTCATCGCGCCATGCCTCGACCTCGCGAATCTTGATATTCTTAAATGCAAGCCGCCTTGTTTCAATCTTGAACTTATCGTGGCCTTTGCCTACCAGCCTCAGTACCTCGCAATAGAGCTGAGAATAAAAACGCAAGTACGGCTCATCGGGGACTGACATGGCTGGAGTGGAGTCTGGGACATCCCATAGCTTAGTTGACACACAGCAATTGTTCCGGACGTCCCATGCAAGACTGAAAAGACCGGCCGGAATAACGGCCTTGGTCAAAAAGTATCCATTCTTGCTCAGGCTAAAGTCTTCCATGAGCTCTGGATGCTTTTCCAGTGTTGCCTTAGACAAGACGAGTGCCACATTGGCCGTTGGTCGAATGTGTTCATAAGAGACCAAAAGTCCGTCGATCGGAAAAAAGTGATTCATGTTACGTTGCTTATTGCCGTGTGTACTGCCGCCTCCGGGAAGGAGACCGTACTGCAAAATCGAACGGATGTGGCGATACTCAGTCATGTGAACCAGCGTGTCCGGCATATCGGAGAGCTGGCACTTCGGGATCTTAAGGCCGGTTATCGGAGCTTCGGCACCTCCCGAATGGCTGGAAA